ATTTCCAGTGTCTAGCAAGGACTGAGCTTGCTTTCTGCTGTTTAAACCCCTGAAATGCGATTTCCCTCACTGTTCTAGCTTTATTCTTATTGCTGTAATAAAAAACTCACCAAAACCAACTTACAGAAGAAAAGAGTTTAGTTCACTTTATAGCTGATAGCCCATCCTCAAAGCAAACTAACCAGTAACTTGGAGTAGAAACCATAGGAAAGCAGTTTACTGGTTTCCTCAGCCACCCCTTTTATACATCCTAGACCCGAAGTTCTCAGCCTTCCTAATGCTACGGCTCTTTAATACAATGTCTTGTGTTGTGATGAAGCCCAAGCATAACATTATTTCACTGCTGTTTCACAGTTGTAATTTTGCTACTATTATGAACCATAATGTGAATATCTGATATGCAGGATGTCTAATATGAGAACTCCATAGGGATCACGACCCACATGATGAGACCCACTAGCTTAGGCCTACCTCTGTTGGGGGTGGTACCACCCACAGGGAGCTTGACCAATCTGATGGATCAATTCCTCAATTAAGGTTCTCTCTTCCCAGGTGATTCCAGTTATGTCAAGCAGACAAAAAGCTAACTGCACACCCGACTCCCAGGAGCAGTGTAACAGAATACTCAAGCATATAGGCCTATAGCCTCCAGAAAGAGTCAAAGCTCACTCAAGGCTCTCCTTCTTTTGCAATTTTTTTCTACAATGCATAAACCTTTGATTATGGAAAAGAATGTTACTATTACACTCCAACTATCCCTGAAAGTCTAGAAGTTCTATGTAAGAGACACTTACTGAAAGTCAGAGATAAATGGCAGTGAGACCAAACTTGGAATTTGCTGCATCCCGCATGCATAGTCTGTGTCCTGACTGTGCTGCACCGCCCAGACTTAAAAGCAGCATGGTGAGAGTCAAGAGTGGCCAGTCGTACACCACGTTATAAACCATAAGTACCTGTACATTGTTTTGTCTTTAGGGTTTCTTTAAAAATTTATTATTTTTATGTATCTGCCTTTGTGCGTTCATATGCATCATATGTGTACAGAAGCCCATGAAGAACAGAGGGCATCAGGGCCTTTGGAGATACCGTTGGCTCATGTACTGGTAACCGAACCTGGGGCTACTTAAAGAGCAGTGACTGTTCTTAACTGCTGAGCCAACCTCCCCGTCTCTCCAGCCCCTGGCATTTAGGCTTTTGAAACATGTCTCAGAACCTTGAACTGATCCTTCTGCCACCTGTCACTCACAGCTGTGATATACACGCAGGTAAAGTCACATAAAAAGAGACAAAGGAAACACCTTCAACAGCTGGGAGAGACTGCAATAATCAAAGTCTCCTCCTTTCTGTTACCTTGGGAGCAAAGCCCCCACGATGGTGCCTGGGGAACCATACTTCAGTCGAGAAACTAGCCACAGATGTGAACAGTGAGGCCATTGCTATTGATCATAGCCCTGCAGAAGAACGTCAGCCAAATTGGGCATGTTATGTTTATGAAATAATATTCCCAAATGAAACAAAGGAGAATTGATTCCTGAAAAGCTGTAGACGGGTGAGAATGTAAACAAATGACCGTTATAAGGACTCCACAACTTCGCCTCCACTGTCTTTGTTTTACCACTGCGGAAATTACATTTGCGCATAGGATTTTATCTAAAAAGCTAGTGTAAACATTTCTATACAAATCCTTTCATATCTAGTGGTTCCCCGCAAAACTTTGATGTCCTGAAGAAAAAATCTAATTATTACTGGTAACTTTAAAAGATCACAGTAATTTATTTTTGTCAAATGTGACTAAAGATTAATGGATACAATCAGGAATAATTTGGTAAAAACATATCATACACAGAGAAAGCAAAATTTGTTGTTAAGTGAAGCATCAAATATAATAAAAGAGCAAATTCCATGAATGAACAGCAACAATGCGCAATTCATTAACCAAAGGCCCATGGTTATTTCACACTTCAGAGGGCCACTGATATAATCAGAAACCACAGTAAGAGGATAAATACACACTACCTTCAGCACCTCCTTATGTTTTAATTATAAACACTATGACCATCCCATCTGTAAATCATAAACTTAGAAAAAGACAGGCAATTATTCTAAGGTGGTGATCAATATGTCACAAAATATTAAGTGCATATCATTTTCTTAGATGTTATTAAATATAAGACTCTCATGAAAACTCCAATCATCATCTTTGTGGTCATCATCACTACCACTACCTACAATGCACTACCACTACCCACAATTCTCTAATCATTACCGAATGCCTACTTCACTGCTCAAAGGAAAAAACTGTATTAGTTAACATCTTACTAGTTCTTGCATGTTCAGAGCTTGTCCAGAACTTAACTCATAGCAGTAGGGCTTTAAATACGGAAGAAAAAAACATGAGGCTGGAGGTGCAGTTCAGTCGTTATGTACTTAGCAGGCCTGAGGCGCCAGGTTTAGCATCCAGCACACACACAAAAACACAAAAATAGCCGGATATGCTGTCACATGCCTGAAACCCAAGTGTCTGAGAGGCTAAGTCAGGAGCATCTAAATTTTGAGGCCAGGCTGGCTGACCTAGTCAGCTCATGTCTCACAAACAAGTATGTGGAGAGTGATTGAGAAACACATCCATCATCAACTTCTGTCCTCAGTAGACATGCATACTTGCAAAAACCATACACAAGTGTGCATGCATACTACACACTCACAAAAAGAAGCAAACAAAAAACTTCATTCGCTTACTGAAAACACACAAAACGGCATTTTCCATTGACAAGAATAAATACAACGTACACAAAACCCTACTAAATACAGTTATTGAAAGAAGCCCACTATAGGAGAGTAACTACAACTGATCTTGTCTACATTTTCAAACAGAATAGAGGAAATACATGAAGAGAACAGAGGTGACACTTTGCAATAGGAGAAAAGAAATAAGGTTGTGTGATGGTTTCATTGGGATTCCCTCAGGGTCCTCCAGTCACCCCGGATGTCAAGCTTCCTCTACCTGCCACCTTGCCTTCTTCACCTCTAGATCTGTCTTTAAACAGTTCCCTCTGCTTCGATAAATCCTTCCTCATTTATTATCATTATTATTATATTTCTCCATTTATTACTGATAACTAGTAAATTTGAGAATTGTTCTGGGTTCTAATCTACTTTCTCTGGTTTATATTTCTCTGCTTCTTGGCAGTACTAGATGTACACACAAACATTCATATTCTCTCCCTCTTCTCCTTCTCCCCCTCCCCTCCTCTCTCTTCTCTCTTTCTCCTCTCTCTCTCTCTCCTTCCCTCCTGCTTCTCCCTCATGGATAACAATCTCTATTTTCCAACTTTGTTAAAAAAAAAAAAAACTTTCCTTCACTATTATCTTCTCTATACGGTGGCTGTATGTATTCCCCTATTATTTTCTCTATAAGATGGTGGTATGTATTTCCCTATAATCTTCTCTATAAAATGGCTGTATGTGTTCCCCTATTATCTTCTCTATAAGACAGTGGTATGTTTATTCATCACTTAAGTTTCTTCCTTCCACACATAAGTGGAGCATAGCACACAGACGTTCTATATCAGTTCTCAGGTCCTTTCTGCAGGGTCCCTTTCTTCTGTTTTAGAATCGTTACCCCTGTGCAAACTAGGGCACATCTGGGACAGCCCCTTCCTCATTTTTCCCCAGGACTATGCTGCACACTCTCTTCTTCGACTGCATATTCAACTTCAGTCCTGCACTGAATTGTTCCTCCTGCCTTCACAAAACAAAAACAGAGAAAAGAAAGAAAAAATCCTTCCACAGATGGCTTTCTTCTCAACCCCATTTCACCATGGCATTTATCTCCCTCTGGAGAGTCTGTCGATGTGTCTGCACCCTCCAAATTACCCTTTCTTCACCTCCAGGATCTCAGGAGGCCTGCTCAGGAAAGTCAAGGTCTTCACCTGATATACTTCCTGCCTCTCAACCCCTCCCTCTTCATCTTCCTATCTGGCCTCGGGGCTCCCAGTTAAAGTACCTGCTGTCTCCACATGAGCTGATTTTATGCAGTTCCGCCAGCATATTTCTTCGGTCCTGGTCCTTCTCAGAAAGTAATAGTTGCCTATTAAACTGTTATATGTGCTGGCAGCCTTTCAGCTCCTGTGCACTCTATCGATGAGAGAGTTTACACCTACAGACGGATGTACCTATGTCTCTAATCCACACACTGAAAGGTATGTGTTCTGTATAATGTGATCTATACACAAAAGCTCCCTAAAGCACTGACCACAGATCATCTTTGTATTCTCTTGCAGTGCCTTGTATACGATTATGCATGCAGGAACTACCTCAAATAGTTACAAAATTGAAACGAAAAGAATGATTATATGTTTTTATGTAAATGAAGAAAACAACTGGGAATAGGAGGAAAAATAAGTTCTCTGGCTGACTCCTACTAGAGAAAGGATTCTCTTTGGCACAGAAGATTGTCACCTACCTAGAAGATATTAATTCTTCTGAGTAGAGCAGTCCCAAGCCCAACCTCCCATAAAGATAGAATTATAGCCCCTTTCCATTCTCCTGCCCAGGTTGGCCAGAAAGCTAAGCTCAAGCTGCCTTGTGATGACTGGAAGCTGTTCTTCTCACCTGCTTTGGCATGTTTGAGCATAATCCCCCTCAAATTATACACCATGATTGGAGATGTGAAACTTGACAACTGAGGTCAGTGGGATAGCAGAGTAGACTCTAGAGTGTCTATATTTTAAATGTATCATGATTCAAAATAAATAGAAAAATATTAGGCTATGAGGTTTACACGAATGAATTTTCAAGACTATAGAGTTTCATTTTTAAATAAATCTGCTGAAGTGAAATATTTTTAGTTATATTTAATTTTAAAACTATATAAGTGCCTAGATTTTTTTTAAAATTGCGAGAGTTTTCATGAAGGATGGAAAACTGGGGAACACCAAGAGAAATGTGAGCTCAAGAGTCAACACTGTCTTCACGTACAATACTAGAAGATGACTCACCTCTGGTGACAGCATCTAGTGCACAGCCACTTCCTGTGGCTCCTCCTCCAATAACAAGGATGTCAAATTCCGATGTGTTCTGCAGCGTCATGAGCTGAGCTTCTCTGGAGGGAGGCTCCCTGTTCACAGGCTCTGTGAGGCACTCTGCTGCTTCCACATAAGCCAGGCTCACCTGAGGGAAAGGGGGAAGGTTCTGGTCACACATCTGGAATGCTAATTCAGCAAAGCATACAGTGTACTATAAAGAGATTCATAATGGACACAAGGGCTACCAGTCCTAGCCCATGGTCCACCTGCAGTCACAGGAGCAGCGGTGATGGGGCCGGCTTTAGTCCTTTACATAGGTCTCAGTTATTTACACACAGAACACGTGGTTTCACATTCAATATCTCAAATATTTGCTTGTGTTTTAAATATAGCAAAGTTTAATTATTTCTAGCACTATGTAGCAATTCCGAAATGTTTTACCTAAACCAATTTGAGGAATCAGAAGGAAGGGTTTTACCTGGTAGTATCAAACCATTCAGACAAGGTTTAAAAGTACAGACATCATGTGTGAGGGGGAAACAGAACTTTATAACCATTGTGCATTTTCTTAAAAGTATATGTTTCGTATGCAATTCTAATGACAAACGTATACTCTTAATTTTTTGATTTGTGATTTGTTGACAGTACCTTGTTGAAATAAGCAAGGCTGGGTTTGGTGACTCACACCTTTATTCCCAGCATTTGGAAAGCAGAGGCAGGTGGGTAGATCTCTGTGAGTTCAAGGCCAGCCTGGTCTATATACTGAGTTTCAGGACCACCAGCACAACATAATAAGGAGAAAGAGAGACCACATGAAAACGAGAGAGTTCCAGAACCAGAGCTTAAGGTCAAGCACACAGAAAAATAGGTATTTGGGACTTGCCTCTCACACTACTGTGTGGATACATTTAGCACAATGCAGAGTAATTGATGCATGTTGTTCCTTTAGTTATCCAAAGATGACAGCTTCTGTTTCCCTCGATTCCATGGCAGTATCAGCACAGTGAAGGTTCTCCTTCCACTCTGACCTAAGTCACCTATGAAGCTCGGAGTGACGAGGGCCAAGCTCGCTCAAGAAGAGGAGCTCTCTGGTCTTTGCAACATGGTCTTTTTATGTATCTACAAGATGGCTTGGAATTCTTTATGCAGCCCAGACTGGTCCCTAACTGGCCCCACACTGGCCCCAAACAGTCCCAAACTGGCCCCAAACTGGCCTAAGGGCTGGGCTTACAGTGTTCACTCGGATATCCAGCTGTGGTTACTGCATGGAGACTATTCTGTTCATTCAAGATAAGGTATTTAAAAAAAAAAATTCAGATAAACCAAACTACTGCCTAGGACTGGATTAATTATTATCAAGCCAATTGCATTTCTATGGAAATAAAGCCAGAAGTCTAGAGAACATTGTGGAAAGCCTGTCTTGGATCACAGAGACCCAGCTTGAGTCTCTGCACCCCTGTCTTGAAAGTCTGATAATCTTGGGTTCAGTCCGTAGGACCCACATAGCAGGGAAGAACAGACTCCAACAAACTGTTCTTTGACCTCCACACTTATAACAGAGTGCACCCATTTTTAAATTATTAATTAAAATGCCAAAACTCAAAAACATCCCATTCTGCATGTAACTCTTCCTGTTCATGTATTAGTAACTGTTCCCTCATGTAACAAGCCAAATAAAAGAAACTGCTAAGTTCTACGAAGGACTGGGCTCCTCGAGCTATGGTCTGTCTTCCTCACCTAATGAGAAGAAAAATAGAACACACAGAAAGATAGTATATACAGACATAACACATTTGTAGAAAAAGCAAATGCCAAAACAGGGGGTGGGGTAGACTCTGACCACTGTGGGGAGGGAGGCGGAACTGTGCCAGGACAGATGGGGAAAACTTGGACATGGGACTGACAAGTGACTAAACCGCCCGAGCGTTTTCACACGTCAACAGAATCGCTGACATTTTCTGCCTGGTAAGTTTTCTAGAAATAGTCGAGAAATAAGTTTAAAGACCATATCACGGTATAGTTCATTAGAACTTGTTAATTCCAAAAATGCCCTAGTCTGTTCTAACCATGAAGATTCAACCAGGGCTTCTCCTCAGCAGGTGGGGGAGATTTGAGGAGCATCCGTCGCTCCCCATTGGTTACGTGGTCCTGCAAGCTTCCTGACCTTTTGTGGGAATAGTCTTAGCCTGCCTTATCTTAATATGAAAAACACCTCTTTCATCTTTATGGTGGCTACATGCCTGTCATCTCAATGCCCAAGAGGCAGGGAGACAGGAGGATTACATACTTGAGGACAGCATGGACGACTACAAACAAACAACCTTTCCTTATATGGAATGTATGTCTCCAACATCTCATGTTCCCAACATTTACCCGAAAAATTCACAAGAGATTCAGAAGCCCCTGAATCATCCGGCTTTAGTATTTACTCACTAAACTCACTATTAACTAGGTTTTTACATGCACACCATTATCTTCTTCATCACAAGACACCCCATGCCCACAACACAACTGACTGTCACTCAATTCGGTATACAAGACAACTATTTTTCTCCCACTTTTTGTACCTCTCTTTCTTAGCTTCCTTTGGATACCACTCAACTGCCCGACAGTAATGAGTGAGTAACCTGCCTCTTAGGTGTGTCCTGCTCATTCTTTTCAGATGGCTAGGAACTCTCTAGAGAATCTCAAATGGTCCATATCATCCTATACTCTTCATGACACAATAATTTCTAATTTGGGGAACTCCATATATCAAATGGCTAATTAATTATCACTTATAGTTGGATGTCACATGTGTGTCTCAATATTGGTATCATGGCTTTATCTCCCCAAGCTATTTTTTAACCTGCCAGCAATCAGTGTTCTTAATAATTACCCACAAGAAATGACTTTATTTGTAATGCTGCCAAAGAAAGAGTTTAGGGTAGTACTTCGCCTAGTGTCTTAGATACTTTTCCAGTTTCTCTCTCTCTCTCTATCTCTCTCTCTGTGTGTGTGTGTGTGTGTGTGTGTGTGTGTGTCCATACCTTAGACCCAGTACACCAGAGGCAGATGCAGATGGATCTCTGAGTTCAATTCAAAGCCAGCCTGATCTAGAGTGAGTTCCAAGACAGCCAGAACTCACGCAGGGAAACTCTGTCTTGAAACCTCTCCCCTAAAAAAAAGGAAGGAAGGAAGAAAGAAAGAAGGAAGGAAGGAAGGAAAAGAAAGAAAGAAAGAAAGAAAGCTAGACTTAGAATCCTGTACTACATGATTGTGACCATTCTATATAAACAATGTTCAGCAAAAAACCAAGAATGGGATCAGAAAACAGGTCAGTGATCCGTGATTCACCACATTTTAAGCTGTTCCCCAAATCATACCTCAGTAAAATTGACTTAACAGTAGGAACCAGCTGTGGGCACAGCACTTGTGTACTGGGCAGTTTTATAAGGCATGTAGCTTTTTTCTGCTCATTGAATCTGCACAGTAAACCTTCGTGAGGTCCATTAATATCGGGGGGCTGCTGACTGTTGCAGAAGTTGCACTGAGGAGTTCCTCCAATTTAAAAATATATATTTATATACACACAGTCCAATTGAGGGTGATTTATTTAATTTCTGACAGTACTTAAAAATAACATTTTATTTTTGTTTATTTCTTTCGAAAAAAGCTGGAAACTGTTGCAACTGAGAAGCTAAGCACCACGCTTATTTTAGAGGCAGTAAACACAGCCTAAGGCCCTACTTAGAATTATGACAGGAAAAAGACTCATTTTGGCTTCAGATGGCTTTGAGTAACAAAAACACATCTGCACTCTACCTTCTCGAGAACATGCTAATTTCAGGGAACTAAAGAAGCGGGCAGAGATAACAAAGCAGGGGTGGTAAATTATGACACCCTTTAAGAAAAGGATCTTTGCGCTCTCCTCCTGCCTTTTCTGGGTCTCCCTCTGCCAAGCCTGACAGGGTGGTTAAACAGGGATCTGGGGGATGAGCTCTGCTGATGGATAGATCCAGAATGTCCTAAGTTGACTGAAAGACCAAAATGCTCCTGAGATGATGGACTCTGCACCACTCACTCAACAAATGACTATTTGGGGAAGTCCCTCAAGCATTCTATAGACTAGGCGGCAAGAGGACACAGAGACAGTTCTAATATGACTTTCACCGGTGTTTAAGGCTGAGAAGAAGCTAAAAGGGTGTGTGTGTGTGTGTGTGTGTGTGTGTGTGGTGTGAAGCTAAATCAGCAGAGTACTCACCTGGCATTTATATATTTGCTTAGGTAATATATTCACCTGGCATTTATAAAACCCTTGGGTGTTGGGTTCAATCCCCAATACTACATCAAACAAGTCGGGCAGTACATGCCTGTAATCCTAACACTCATCCACAAAAGAATCAGAAGTTTAAGGTCATACTCAGTTACACAGAGAGTTCAGGGCCAGTTTAGCTATAAAGGAAGGAAGGAAGGAAGGAAGGAAGGAAGGAAGGAAGGAAGGAAGGAAGGGCCAGTCACAGAAGGCATCTCGTATATCCTGGCCAAGCTTCCCTAGAAAGGCCAGCTAAATCAAGCCAAGAGTGGTGAGCATCAGCTGGGTGAAACCAGGAAAGGAAGCGGGAAGAGCATGTGTTAAGTCTAGAATATACTATACATGTCTGCTCTTTGCTGTCACATACTCCCTTAAAATCTGGCTTGCATATCCAACTTTAAAAACTGCTCAGTGTCACATAAATCTCAAGATTCCTAACTGAGATTAATGACAAATAAGAGCCAGCAGTTATGGCCCGTAGATAAGGCAGAACTTGTAAGCCCCAGGATTCTCTCTGACTAGCGTCATGGTTTCATCTTACCAGACTGTCCACTGGAGGCATGTGAGTTTGCTGCCCTAGGCCTAAACCCAGTACAAACCCAGCACTACAAGCTTCAGGATTACAGATTCAGAATTGCTGTAGGGATTCCTACTGCCAGTAGTCTTTAAGTTACCCACCCACTTGGGCGTGGTCTCATACTATTTATGCCTACTGTGGGATTCGGTTGCTGTTCCCCGTTCCAGCAGAGGATTGTGATCTGTGAGTCTACCCCTAAATAAGTAACCCTCCATTATATTCAATTCTGAGCTAGTGTGGGATTTCTTTTAAGTGTCCTTCTTCACAGGATCAG